GGTCAATCCATGTCAGTATTTAAGGAATGGGAACCTCTTCCCTTTTTAGTTGTATAAGTGGATTTTGGCTGCTTCTATTAAATGGGTATCCCATAAGTTACTTAATCCACTAATGAGTATTTAGGTTTTACTCTTTCACAATTACAGTATAATGACAAGCTTGAAGCTGCTGCTGTTACATATTTTCATGCAGGGTGTAGTTGTAAGCTTAAGTCCTTAACGTGTAATTTGCACGACATACCAAGTCCCCTTTCATTGGATGCTTCGTTTTAGAGGCCGGTTGGACAACTTTACCAATAGCATCATTTCTGAAGACATTTTTTCAGAATTGGTAAACTGGAGAATTATCCAAAGAAAACAACTTTATTAGAAAAATCACCTATTTTTTAGATAGTGGTGACACTGATGGCTTTTGTGGTAATGAGATGATGTGATTCTGCTTTTCTTTAAAAACATGGAAACTTCATACACGAAGATGAGTTTTATCCCTGTCCGATTGTCTTGGTATGAGGGAGGGATTAGTATCAGATTACCAATGTGGTCATGAGCAAGTGACTTATTTTTTCTGAAATTGTTGTGGTCTAAGATGTGGGTGCAATACCTACCTCTGGGCTTCTGTGAGGAACAGTTGAGAGGATATAAGTGATGTGTGGCACAGAGCTTTGCAAATTGGCCAATAAACTCCAGTTATTAGTCCAAATATACTGCTTTTGGTCATAATACTTTTTCTGCAGTCACTTTTGGAACCAGCTCATAAACCTTGCAAACTTGGTCATTGTTCTGTGGTCATACTCTTGTGGTTGTCATGAAAACCTGCAGTATTCCTCTTGTTCATACCACTATTTCACAAAATTTGAGTGATTGAATTACAGCCGGAAGGATAAAGGTTCACCATCCTTGATGGTATTTAGTATGCTACAAGCGGAAAAGCTGTTTTCAAGGAGGAGTTCCTTGTCACCAGACACGTAGCATTGTTACTTGTGTGCTCTCCCAGAGTGCCGCCCTGGTGATGAAGACCTCTTAGGCCTTAGGTATCTTTCTTTATGCCTTGTAGACAAAGCTCGTTTGGATTTAGGGTTTCCCTCGGGTGACGTAACCTCACAGTACCAGTGGAACCACAGACACTGCTGTGTTCACCTGCCCAGTTAAACGGCTGCACAGTGAATCCAGGCCGTCTTGAGGTCACTGTTCAGGCACTCTTCCTTAGATTCTTGTAACAGTGAAAAGGGGCTTGGAGTCTGGGCAATATAACCTTCACTGATCTCTTGGCAGAACTCAGGACTGTCAGGGCTTTCAGGGCATACTTAGAAACTCACAGTGCGGCCAGGAGTTTTGGTGATTGTAATTAGGCACTAAAGGTTACATCCTGTGGGTGTTTTGTAGAACCTTTGCCTCACAGATCAGTGGAGGAATGGAAAGAACCACAACTATCCTTTTCACTTTTCCTTAAAAATGATTGGAAACCATTGATGTGATTCAAGAAAACTTCCGCACCTACCATAAAAGGAGGGTAGCTCAAAATGCTCCTGAATTACCCACAATGTGGGGGAAAGCCTCCAGGATTGATGTTGGGAACTTAATACATGAATTGACCTTGAAAAGCACAAACTAACGCCCCTCACAGAAAAACCCAGAAGAAGCCAAAACGACCTTACTTCAAATTGTTGAGACACTTATATGAGTTGTAGCTACCTGTTGACATCTTTAGACTTCTGATTTGGTGTTCTGTGCCATTATATACTTGTCTTTTGATTTAACAGGATAATTTATAGTTGAGCCTTGAACAATATGGGTGGCGACTGTAGGAATCCACTTACAGGTTTCCTTGTAAATAGATGATGTGAGGTTATGATATTGATCAGTACTGTAAATACATTCTCATGGTTTTCTTTAGTTTCAAGAATGTGTATGCAATACACATAGCAACCAAAACACATATTAATCCATGGTTCGTGTAATTGGCCAGACTTCTGGTCAACAGCAGGCTGTCAGTAGTTAAATTTGGGGGGAGTGAAGTGGGCTTTGAATGCATGTGGGATCAACACCTCTAACCTCCACATTGTTTCAAGATCCAACTGTAAATTCCTTTTTTTCCCTAACTCACTTTCCATTGGAGTGCCTGAAAATGACAGTTGAGACATGCTGCTTCTGGTTCTCTGTGCCTCTAGGTTCAGAGAGCAAAAACATCCAGTGTGATGCTTTCATTTCCACTAAACTGTTCACTCCCTCAACACTGT